TCTTCCTCCTCTCTCCTGACCCTCTTCCTCCTCTCTCCTGACCCTCTTCCTCCTCTCTCCTGACCCTCTTCCTCCTCTCTCCTGACCCTCTCTCTCCCAACCTTCCTTCCCTCTTCTCTCTCTGATCCTCCCTCCCAACCCTCCCTCTCTTCCACGCTCTCTTTCCTTGCTGACCCTCTCTCTCCTCATTCTGATCGTCTCCCCCAACCTTCTTTCCACCCTCCTTCTGCTCAACCTTCCCTCCCTCTCTTTCCTCTCTCCCAGCCCTCCTTTTCCTCTCCACTCTCCTGATCCTCTCTCCCCCGATCCTCCTTCTCTCCTGTTCCCTCTCTCCAGGCCCTCCCTCTCTTCTCTACCCTCTCCCGATCCTCTTCCTCCTCTCTCCTGGCCCTCTCTCTCCCAACCTTCCCTCTTCTCTCCCAATCTTCCCTTCCTCTTCTCACTCCAATCCTCTCTCCCAACCTTCTCTCCGACCCTCTCTCTTCTCTCTTTCCTCTCTGCCAACTCTCCTTCTCCTCTCCCCGACCCTCCCTCTCTTCTCTCCTGGTCCTTCTCTCCTCTTCTGGCTCTCTCTCTGCTCTCTCCTGACCCTCCTTCTCCTCTCTCCTGAACCTCTCTCTGCCAATCCTCCTGATCTTCCCTCTCCTCTCTCCCAACCCTCCCTCTCCTGTGTCCTCTCTCCCAACCCTGCTTTCCTTTCTCTGGACCCTCATCCTCTTCTTTCTCGACCCTCTCTCTCCTTCCTAACCCTCTCCTTGCTCTGATTCTCTCTCCCAACCCTCTCTCTGACACTCCCTCTCCTCTCCCCCAGGTTTCCACTGTGCCCTCGTGCCCCTCTTCAACCCCCTGTTCTCTCCACGGAACCTGGTGCTCGTGGCCGCGCGGACCCCGCTGGCTGCGGTGCTGGCTGAGGACAGTGAGGACGGGGACAGCAGCGAGGACGAGGACCCAGGGGGCTGAGAGCCCCTCAGGGAGAGCAGAGCCCCCCTGCCCCGGGCACAGACCACAATAAACCCGTGATTTTTACTGCCCAGGGCTGGGTGTGAGCGAGTCGGGGCTGCACCGAAAGCGCCGCGCGCCACAAACACGGAAAATCAAGGGGTGTGTTTATTGCAGAACCCAACCCGGGGGGAAAGTCTGGCCCCCCAGTTAATACCAGTAGGATTTCTTGGCCCGCCGTGTCTCCACAATGCCCATGGCGTCCATGATCTCCTCCTCAAAGGTCTTCAGGGACGGCTTGTACGTCTTGGCCAGCGCGTCCTCCACTGACGTGTCCTTGGGGCCGTCTGTGTGAGCGAGGGGACAGCAGAGCTGAGCCCCCTGTGCCTTCCCCACGTCCCCCCAGGCCCCCTGCCGCCCCGCTCACCGATCCAGTTCTCAGGCACGATGCCATCCCGGCGTGGCTGCGGGGGCACGGGCAGGATGCGGCCGCTGCGCAGGGACACGCGGACGCGCTCGCCCTCCTCCGTGTACCTCCACTCCACCTCCGTGGGCTTCCTGCGGGCACACGGGCGGTGGGAGGGGGCAGAATGGCACGGGGGGGGCCTCAGCGGGGTCTCCTCAGCCCCCCCACAGCTGTTACCTGTCCTCAGGGTCCACCAGGCTGATCTGGTTGAGCAGCAGCGGCGCCTCGCTGGCGATGTAGGTCCCGGAGTACTTGGCCGTGCGGTTGATGTAACGGTAGTGCTGCGAGGGGATTTAGGGTCACCGACAGCCCGTGACCCCCCCAGCCTCTATAGCACCCCCCAGAAACCCCCCCAAGCCTCACCGTGTTCAGCCCTTCCACCACGACCCAGTTCCGGGGGCGCACGACCTGGGTGACCCTCCCCTGCTTCCCCGCGTCCTTCCCGCTCAGCACCTGGACCTGCGGGGGGGGGAGAGGGGGGTACAGCTGGGACCCCCAGCCTGGC